AATTTCCATCCCAATTTCCATCCCAATTTCCATCCCAATTCCCATCCCATCCCAATTCCCATCCCACCCCGCAGAACAGCAGCACAGCAGGCAGGAGGCAGGCACAGCAGATGTGCTGTTTGTCAGCACACACAGAAATACAAGTGCATAAAATACAGAGACATATGAACACGTGTGATGCAGACACAGCAACAGCTCTTTTGTTTCCCAAGCTATACTTGAGGAACAATATGGAAACACAACTGTCCCAGCAGCAGAGCTGGACTTGGAAAAGGACAGCAGGTGTTCAGATGTGAAAACACAGCAGCCACAGCAAACCAAGACACCACTGTGCTTCCCAACCAAAGGCCTATGGTGACAGGAAGCATCCCTTAATTTCAGGAGAAGGGTGACACACGCCCAAGCACAGCTGAAAAGGCAGACTTTGGCTCCTGAAGTGCCTGTGCAATTGAGTGCAGCAGCAAATCTGCCTCTCCCATTGTGGGAAGGAAGAGCAGAAGCAAGGTCCTGGCAGGAGGGGCAAAGGAAGGAGCAGAGCCACAAGGCCAAGAACTGCTCCTCAGCAAAACAAAGTCTCACTTCTCTCGAGACACGGCCTCCAGCGCAGCCTTGCCCTCGAAGCTGGGCGATGGGAAGATGCAGGAGGTGCCATGCAGAGCCATCACCATGCAGCCTCCCACTGATGCCAGGCAGTGGTAGAGAGGTGCAGGGAGCCCACAGCGACTCTCCTGGGATCAACCAGACAACAGTGAGGTGAGGAGACCTCCCAGTGTGTGTCCAGCCCATCTCCCTGCTGAAGAGCAAAGATCTGAGCAGAGACATTTTTCCTGATCCACTCAGCTGGAAATCTGACCTTCTGCTGTGTTCCTGTCAGGTGAAAACACAACTGGCACATCCTGTCTCTAATAAAAATTAGCTTGGGAAGTTTTTTATGTCAGTATTTCATCCTATAATTTTGCAATGTCTCTTCTTTGCTAGACTCCTTGGTCTGGTACTGTTTATACATTATGTGCCATGAGAGATGAACAGGAATGCTGTGAGAGGCATGAAATATGCAATACTTGGCACATGCTATTCATTTTACTTTGTTTTTTATGAATCACCAAAGGCTCTGAAGACTGACTGAAACAACTCATCTACTCTTTGGATACATCAGGAATTAGTACTTCAGAACTTCAAAAGAAAATATTTGTCTTTAACAATTTTTAAAAGAAACCACAAAAAGAGAGGTCATGCCCTGATAAAAGATAGGACTGTAAACATGACATGAAATGATGTAAATCAAATTAAAACCTCATTCAACAGAATACAAAGCTAACATCCAGAGTCTTGTAATCATTTGAAATGAGTATTCACCAAAACAAAAAGTGATTAATTTCATGTTTTTCCCCCACAAAAAGATAGCCTTTTTTGCCTAAAAAAAAAGCTTCACATGAAACTGAAAAATCAATGAACTCCACTGAAATGCAAAATGTTATGCATTAATATCCCTCAATGTCATTTGCAGCAAAACAGCCTGCCCTTCCACCAAGTGAACACCAGCATTCTCCACAGGTGTTCTCTCTGTTCCCACCAAACCCACCTGGTCTGTGATGCCCAGCCTCAGACCAACCAGGTAGGCATTATTCACAATGTTCCTGTGGGACAGGGTGGCTCCTTTGGGACTTCCCGTTGTCCCCTGGAAGACACAGGGAATTATGCAATAACACCACCTTTTCTGAGGATGAACTCAAGGGTGATTCCCCAGGCAGTCTCTGGGGTGATCTTGCACCTTTTTCTCCTATCAGACCTGGGAGACTGTTTTTACTTCTTTAACAGCACCTGAATCCCAAAAAATTGCCCAATTTCAGCTGAACAGAATTCACCTGGCACTGTCTCCATCAGCTCTTGACAAAGGATTGAGTAAAAAGAAAAGGAAGAAGAGGAAATGCTAGAACAGTTTTTCCATCCTACTGCAGAAGCTTGAAGCTTGGTCTCAGAGGGAAATAGGAAGAAAATGTCATGTGTGGCATTGCACACATCTGTCCCCGTGTCCCCAGGGAGGAACCAACCCCAGGGCATGGAGCTGGCAGGGCACCTACTGAAGTGAACTGGATGTTGATGGGCTCATTGCAGGACAGGGACTGCTGCACAGCCCTGAGCTGCTTCACATGGCTGCTGTCCCCAGCCTGCATCACTTCGTGCATGTGGAAGGTGCCAGGCAGCTTAGAGTCGCACATGATAACAATGGATAAGTCAGGTAGCCTGGCAGAGAGAAAAATATCATCAACAATAACAGGACAAGGAGAAAAGTGCCCAGACAGGTGCACACTGGTCAGGGCAAACCTCTGGGCCAGCCTAACTTGCTCTCTTCAGAAGAGACATCCTGTGGGTCCTTCTTCAGCAAAGCCTGTGTTGTGCAGCTGAGGGGACACAAGGCAGGACATGACACGTCAGTGCAAAGACACAAGATGTTCCTAACTCACCTTTTGCTCTTTATTCCCCCTGGACTGGATTTTTCTAGCTCAGGACATGACTGCTTTAGAATATCATAGTATTTCTGTGTTTTAAATTGAGTGGGAAACACCAGTGCCTTACAGCCAACCTGTGAAGGGAGACAGAAATTCATGAAAAGCCATGTTGGGTTGATGGTCAGGACATGACAAAGAGCAGCCACCACCAACACAGAACAGGCTCCAATGACTAAAGCAAATTAGCCATTACAGCTGTGCATTCCTAAAACCCTCCAAAAGCAGTCACTGCACACCCAGCATCCCAAGCCTGGATCCAGCTGTGCTTTTTCTCCTCCTCAGTGCTGGATTCAGGATGATTTTTGCTGGTCAATAAAATAGAGCTGCAGTCTAAGGTTCCCTCCAGGCCTGGAATCAGCACCCTTCCTTGTGAGCACAAGGCAAACAAATGATTTTTCAGATTATGAGTCTCATCTCTAACAAAAAGCCCAGTCCCAAAATATGAATAAATAAATAAAGTTAAATTAATTTGTGTTGATCTGGAACGAGGATTTTTGAGGAAATTTGGAAAAACAAGGATTTCTAAAATCTGCCTCTAAGATCAAGCCAAGACATTTTTTGTGGAATTTTTGAGGTGTTCCTTTATCTAAGATTTTTCCACCTCTTGTAAAGCACTAGCTATTTTGAAAATGAAAACATTTTTCATTCAACCCTTACATTTACATAATCCCAAAACAAAACACCTTAATTACTCCAAGAACTTGTTTTTCTTTTTCAGCAGCAGAGATTTGCTGAATTTGCCCCAGATTTGCAAACTGTTTTCATCTTCCAAAATATGCATTTGTGTCCAATAAACTATTTACATAAATTATTTACTCAGCTGTTCTCATTATTTTCCCAGAGTCTGGGAAATAAGGAAAGGCTATGCCAATAAATTATTTTTAAGCACCCTCTGGGCTTTGTCAGAAAGGAAGATCAACATTTGCTCTATTTTCTGGAACAGGCTGGCCAGAACCCAGGGGACTGAGGCTGTTTTGGGCCTCTGCAACTTTTTACTACTAATTCCTTCAAACTACAATTCTGGTTGAAACAGCTCTGAAAAACAGATGCTATGTGGGGAGAGGAGGGCTGATTGAAGGGGTGATGCTGTACAAGATAAGAGTCTCTGGTTGTGCTTCTTCCACTTGGTCTCAACATAAATGGCAGCAGACATGTCTTTAAAGAATGTAAACTATGAAAACTCATCATCAGTTTGCTTCTACAAAGCCCTGGAAATACAGTATGACTCCAAGAAATGGTTATTCCACACATATTTCCATATATACCAATTGGACTGCACAGATGGACAGGATCCAACAGGAAAAGCCCTAAAGTCTTCAGAAATTTTGTTATGCAAATAAACAAACACAAACAAATCCTCTGGTGAGGAACTCCAGAGATCCCAGTGTCGAAGGTGCATCACAAAGCTGGGAATGCTGGCAAATCTGGAAGGGCAAGACAGGAGCAATTCCCAGTGGAGCTGAAGCACATTTCTGCTCTTACTCCAACATTCCAGATTACATCATAGGAGAAAATCAGAGGAGATGAAAAGGAAAACCAAAGCCTTGCTGGGGGAAAAGGGAAGAACTGAGCTGCACATTCCAGCAGAGAGAGAAGCCCAAGGACACCCACCCTGGGAGAGATGGTGCTCCACTGCAGCACTGGGTTCAACCAGTGCATGAGAACAGGAGTGACCAGCAGGACTGCTGAGGGGATTAAATAAAGGATTAAACAAGAATTCAAATTGCAGCCAAACAGCCCATTACAGAGTTACTGATACAAAATGAATTTGCTAAACATTATCCACTCTCTAGGTGGAACTAACTTGGATGGTGCTGGGAACATTCAGAAGTGGCTCCCTCTCTTCTAATATCAGCCTTTATGGCTGAACAAACCACAGTGAAAAAATTAGCTGCTTAATCTTAATTTTTAGTCATCAAATGTTCAATAACCTGAATTCCTCATTATTTGAGCAAGGGACCCTGAGCAGTTTAAATTGATCAGTGCTCTGCACATCACACACCCAAACCCAGGCAGGTATTCAAGGTGGCATGGTGGCAGGATCAGACAGCAGAGAGATGTTAAACAGTGGCAATACCTAGGACTTAAATCAGCTTAAATCCAAGGCCTCAGACTTGAGGAGGAGACCTGAGAAGGAGAAATCAAGTAGACTGGTCCTTTCTGAGGCTCTGCTTTCAAGGCTGAGATCCCAGGTGGTGATTTTTGCCCTGAGCAGGAGGGGCGAAGAGGAGATATCGAGTCCTGCATTTTTTCCCTCATTCCCTGGTAAATGATTGCTGGCAGGGGTGGTTGGTTTGGGGTAGTACTGGCAGTAACTAGCTGTTAGCAGAGAGAGAGAGGGATGAGAAGGATACAGCAGGGGGGCAGCCACAGGGAACAGCAAGAAATGCAGCCACTGAATTGCAGCTTCATCCCTTCCACACATCCAGCATCAGCCCTGCTCTCCAGCCAGCTCTTCCCATACACCCAAATCCTGAGCAGCTCATCTGCACCACGTCCCCAGCAATCCCCTTCAACAGACAGCTGATGCCATACAAACCTGCCTGAGCACGAACTCCAGCTCAGAGGCCTGGTAGGCTGGATTCACAGATACCTGAAGAGCCAGAAACAAGAATCTGATCACATTCTTTCCCTGAACACCCTCCCCCTAGCACAGATTGCAATAGAAAAGTTCCTCCAGGGTTGAGCCACACTCAGAGCCTCTCCTCCAACACAGAACTAACACCACAGGGAATCCACATTCACAGAAAATAGATTTGAATTCTGTGTTTGTGTGGAAGAAAACAATTGGAAAAGAGATTTATGTGAGGTCACATAGAAAGAACAGAGCTTCAGGAACAGAAACCAGACCTCCTGTCCCACAGGATTTGATCCAGTTGATTTAGTTGATCCAATCCACTAAACTAGATCAAAACTCTTGTGCAAGTCAGCTTTCTTGATGGACAACCACGAGAACACCTTCTTCTACCCAGCTCTCCACAGAGTGGCCACTGGAGTTAAGTTCACCCACAGGTTCCTACTGAGCCATGCTCTTCCACCCTCCTCCTGCAGACACTGGAATGAACCAGGATGGAGGAAATGCAGCAGAAGGCAGTGTACAGACCTCAAACAGTGCACTGCCTAAAAATGGTGTGTTTTGGTCATGCTATCAAATGAAAATTGGCTTTTAGGGATATGCAGCCTGGACTAGATTTTTAAGTGACTTTGTTCCATGCAGCAACACATTTCAAAGGGATCTAACCAGCTGATAACCTGGACAGTGTCCCATATAAAAATGGTCCTGTAGAGAAAAGCACATCTCCTATTAAGAGCTGTTGCAAATACTTTTTTGCTGCTCCTCCCTCTGCAGCCTGCTTCCCTACAGAGTGGAGGACAAAGATGCAGAGAGCTGCACAAATTTGCCTTAAATACTTGATTCAGCTATAGATGACATGCCAGGTCATGGAAGCATGGAAAAAAGGGACAAACAAACTTTATTCTCCAGTATTTCCTATTGCTTCTTTGTTTCCTTTCCCAATAGACTGCTAAAACCTAGACACAGTAAACTTCTTACCAGGATGATTCCTGCCTGGGCAGTTGCAAACTGCATGAGAACCCACTCGTATTTATTGGGTCCCCACATTCCCAGCCGGTCTCCCTTCCTCAGACCAAGGGCCAGAAGTCCAGCTGCTGCTTGGTCCACCTGAAAAATACAACAAGAGCATCACACATAGGATGCAGTGGGGGATGTTGGTCTCCAGGCACTGCTTTCTGGAGAAAAAGCATCATCAACAGACTGCAACTACCCAGAACAGTCCATCAGCCCTTGGCTGCAGCAGCTTCTGAGCCTGCAGCACAGAACAGCCCCTGCTCAGCAGGTTGACTGTAGGCATAAAAATAACAAACCTGGAACAATACAACAAAGCAGGAAGGAAATCAAATTATAGACAATTATGTTGTTGTAAGTTATTTCTTGCCCAAAGACTATTTATTGCTAAGTTCCTCATCAATTCCACTTAGGACCAAGCCTTCCCCATATGCTGGGCCCATCCACACTGTTGGATCAGATCCAACTCTGGAGGCATTAAAGAAACAATTGGATGTTGCACTCAGCACTCTGACCTACCTGACAGCATTGTGACTGACCAAAGGCTGGACTCAGTCTTTGAAACATTTTCTAACATTAATGATTCTCTGATTCGTTAACTCAGCCACTACATTAACAACTACCTTATTTTGCAGGATGGTAAGTGTGTTTCAGGTACACAAATGTATGTATAAATACTCTGAGGCATTCAGGAAGGCTTTTATAGTTTTGTTAAGTTCTCAAATTTATAAAATCTGCCTTATAGGAGATAGGAATTTGAGGAACAATTTCATTTAGTTCTGAATTACAGCCTACTTCTTAAAATCAGGGTGAACACAGCTAATCTTGTTTATGTGAATCAATGTGACCAAAACCATAGTAAGCCTAAAACCTCACCAAACAGTCATTTCCTATCAAAGATCATATAACACATTTATTAGAAACTTTCCAGGTAGTTAGTCCCTCCATTCCAAAAACAGAGAAACATATATTTGTATATGCACACACCCACACACATCTGTGAATATGATATTGAACCCTAGTCCTTGACTTTGCTCCATTGCCTTCATGCTTGGATAAAGATCTTGCCCACACTCAGGACCTCTGATAACCAGAGTGACTAATCCAGAAGGTGGAGTGTACGCCAGCAGATAAAAACACCATGACTCAGATCATAACCCATCAGATAAGTGTGATAATTTTTAAGTATGAATGTTCATTATGGGATATTATCATTTTGCATATGCCACTTCCTCCCTTTCATCTCAAGGCTCAGAGGAGGATGAGGGCAGCACACCCATCGGTGTGTGCTGGAAACCTGCTGTTCCCTCTGCACCGGGATAAAAGTCCACACACAACTCACCTCAGTCCTGAGCTCAGAAATGAAACTGTTTCCCAATCCTCCATAACACCTGCCTCTGTCCACTCACCTGAGGGGTGAACAAGGCACTCACCTCCTCTTTGAGCTGAGCAAACGTCTTCCGAACCCCATCCCAGCAGAAGACCACGGCCTCGCGGTCAGGAAAGCGCTCCACCGTCTCCTCCAGGCACTGGCCCATGGTTTTGTCAAGAAGGGGAGTGTCTGTGGGCCCCTGGATGTAGCTGTTGGTCACCTTGGGGGACAAGAAGGGCATCCTTGTGTGCAGGGCACTGGGAAAGAAAAGAACAGGCTATTTAATATAACTTGTCAATACAGTTCTCCCCATCTGGAGGAATTATCAGCCTGCTGATGACATTGGGAATACCTGATGCACATTCCTCCACCAGTGGGAACCACAGGCAGCTCTTTCAGTGGGTCAGAATCAGGAAGATTTCCTGATTTCCAAGAGGACTTGGAAAGCTTATGCAGTGGCTTTGGGCACATGGACAACCTTGGTACCCCCAGGGCACACACATTGTCCATACCAGCAGGCAAAACAGGCAGAGCCTCCATCCTGCACCAGCCCTGCACAACTGGCACAGCATGGTCCTACCATCATTCACCTGCACTGAAAACCACACAGACATGTCAGCATGCCTGGACAGAATATGGGCTCTGCAGTTCACTGAGAGAGGGACTGGGTTTGGTCCTTCTGCAACATTAAAAAGTATAAATAGCAATGAAGTAACACAACCAAACGTCTTTGTAGATAAATTCTCCAAACTATCTGAAAAGAGCAAACAAATGAGAATGAGAGAATTAAAGAGGTCAGTCTCCAAAACAATCAGCAGAGAAGAGTCTAATCCTGCAGAATGAAAGCTGTTTAGAAGAGTTCAGAGAAGCTGAGACGTCTGCAAAGAAATGGTCTGTGATTACAGCAGCAAGCAACTGTACATGTTCTATCTCTGACAGCTGGAATGCAAAGAGTTTATGGGACTGAAACAACATCAATAAAACCAGGAGCTACCAGAGAGATGAGGGGGAAGAAGTGCAGAGGCAATACCACAGCAGGGAGGAGATGGCCCCCTGCAAATGTGGGACAAGTGGGGAGGAGAAAAGCAGGGATGGGATTGAGAAGTGCAAACCAGGCAGGAGATGTTGTGCTGGGGGCCAAGGGGGGAGGCCAATGAGTCAAGAGAAGCAGCAATGAGAAGACATGGTCAGAGCAATAGGGAAAATAACTTAAAAATCATTGAGGCTTTCCCTGAGGTCTGATCATCGGTGGAAATGCAGCAATCTTCCCTCAAACCACAGCTCCTGACCATCTGAGTGCTGCGGTTCCTAGCCTGGCTTTTCTCTCCATCTCCTACAAGCCTCTCCCTGCTCCAGCAGCCACCTCCCACCACCCAGGCAGCTCCCCATGTTCTCTGTCCCTCCTCATTCCCTCTCTGCCTTCCTCCACGACTTCAGCTCCTCCATTCCAACATCAGGAGAGAACCCAGGAGGGACAGGGCTAAGGGACACTTGTGGGATGTATAGCACAGTATAATTCAGTGTATAACAGGGAAATCTCTGCCTTAAAGAGAAAAAATAGCTCAGCCTAAACACCCATCTACTACAGGATCAATATTCTGCAAAGACTTGGTGTTACTGCCACAAATAATTTGCTTTCCTGCCCACAAGAAGCAAGCCTGAGCATGGAGTTACCACCTACATGGAGTGAAAGGCAGTGTCCAGAGAACAAAAAACTAGATTTTACCGTAGGGGGAGTACTGTTCCAAGAGACATGACCTGACCCTTTTCTCCCCACTGCTTTTCAGCAGAGGGAGGGTTGTGTGAACTCCCACAGGCTCTGTTCAGACATCCCTCCTCACCAAGCTCTTGGGCAACTCACATCAAGGCTGTGAGGCTGCTTGAGGAGGAGGGAGGACAAGTGCTAAACTGAACTACCTTTTATTGCTAGAAAACTCTTGGGCAAAGCATGTAGATAAACGAGGACATGAAAGAAAGCTCTGAAGAAAGGCTTTTATAAACACAGGCTCTATAAAATAAAAGGTAGAAAAAACTCTCCCTAAAGCAAGGGAAGGATGAATGCTCCAGGAAGAGCAGTAAAAGCCAGTGCAGCCACCCACAGCCACTTGCTGGTTGAAAAGGTGACTGGAGAAGTCCCAGTCACAGCTCACCAGGGTGAGGGTAAGGAGGAACCCTCAGGCTGTTTGTTAAACTCTTAATGGGGCCAGCCACACTCACATCTCCCTCAAGCCAAATAATCTCCAGTGTCAGCAGAACCCATCCCTAAAATCCCTGCCCACGAAGGGCTGGAGCAGGCAGGGAGCAGCTGTTGATCTGGTTGCACAAGAGCTCTTCCCTCCAGCACCATCTCAGGGGGCACTGGGAGCCAAGCAGGCTCAGCACTGGGAAAAATAAACAACAAAAAAGAGACTGGAGAGGGGAAGAAATACTACGAAATTCAGATTGAGAAAATTCAATCAGCATCCAAAGTGTCCAGCTGAAACAGTCTCCTGCTCTCCTCAGCTGGCCTTCAAACAGGTACTTGCAAACACTGCATTGCCAGTGAAAAGGGAAATATCTTACACTGTCATGTCTTGGCAAAGCACTACACAGATCAGGCTCTCTGGGCTTACTGTGTCAATATTTTCAAGACCTGAATTGCCAAAGGGGTTCACTGACTTTTGAGAACCTGACTTTTACACTAAATGCAAGAAGGCACAAAGCTGAAGGTTTTGTGGCTTGGCTTCCTCCCTACCCCCAAACATGAGAATGAAAGTGCATCCAAGAGCAGTAAAAGATATCATTACAAAGCCACATGCTTGAAAATACTGAGAAAATACTGCTGTATTTCACACTGTGAACACAGCTTGCTCTCAGAGGTTTCAAGCATTCGCATTTTCAAATGAAAGCATGAGCAGCACTGAAATTAGAGGTTAAGAAGGATATCTCATGCTCATAACCCAGAGTCACTGACTCCTCTCAAAGCACTAACTCACAAAATTTCTTCAAATGCATTAAAGCAAAATTCTCAGCTGCCATCAAGTCTGAGCTCCTCAAATTCTGGTCTGACATTCACATGTGCTTCAGCATTTCTGTATCACTTCAACAGTGGCAGAAGTGAAAGGTGTGAGATAAAACATAGCAAGCAGCCTGTTGGAAGCACTGGGGGTGTTCCAAAACCAAGACAGGGGGTCAGGAGTGGAGTAAAGGAGGCAGACACAAGATATGTTCCTTATCAGCAGCATCATGCTGGAAATCACATAAGGCTGGTCTCCCTCCTGCCTACAGCCAGCAGCAAGTGTATGAATCTGATCTGAGAGAATGTATTAAGAGACCTCTAGAAAGAAAGGGTCCAAAGGATTTATAAATAATCTCTGTATTCACCTTTGTTACAGAAAAAACAAGTAATTCACCCTTCACCTCTTCCTACAAAGCATCTGGTGCTGCTGGTGATAAAACAAGACCAGTGGTCTGATATTACACCAGCTCTCATTTCCCTGACTCAGCCAAAGGAGGGCAAATAAAATTCTGCTTGCTCTTGGGTATCAGCACAGACTGTAAACCATGACTTTTGGAGAGCAGATGCCAAGTGCAAGAGAGCCTGCAAATGAGTCAGCTTCATCCACAGGCTGCTCCTGCAAAACTCTGGAACCCTTGAGTTCAGCAGTACAGCTCAACAGAGAGACATCAGAGATATGGGGAAAATGCATCCTCCTCCTCTTTCCTGTAAAAGGCAGGAGAGCAGCCAAATCCCAGCAATCCCAGAGCTCTCCTGCTTGATGGGAGGAAGCAGAAATTACCAGATTGAAGGAAGCACTCTGGACCAATCCTAGGAGCTGTTTGTATTCTTCTCTGAAGAGCCCCAATTGACAGTCTGGAGTTGTTGACATATGATAACCAGCTCTGTTTTCACCTTCAACTCTTTACTAGTCTCTACAGAAATTATCAAAAGAGATGAAAGAGAAAACAAGGACCTCCTGTCCCCTTTGCAGTGTGAAGGACACTGACCTGCCCTGTGGTACCATCACCTCTGCACCTGCAGGAAATTCCCTGCCTTCCCAGAGTGTGGGAACTGTCCCAAATACAGAGTTCATACTTGGAGAGGTTCACAGGCTCTGCCAGTTCCTTTGCTCATGGGCATCTACCAGGAGTTTCTCTCCCAAAGCAAGAGCTTTTGGGTCTTTTCTGTAATATGACTGCAATTAAAGTGGTAAAAATTAACTGACTCCTCCTGCAGCAACTTTCTGGTTTTGCTTTCCACTGTACCTCTCTGCCCTCTGCACTCTCCCTGCCAAAAGGATAAACAAGCCTAGGAGCAGAATTTAATAAACATTTTTTATAACAATACTAGAGTTTAATCTCTAAATACATGCTCTCTTTCTCCAAGGACTTTGTGTTCCTGTTCCTCAGTTTCAGTTCTGGGCTGGTGTGAACTGCAGTGAACTCTGTCACACTTCTCTTCTGATCCTATTTCTTAAGAACAGGTTCTGAGAAGGCAATCTTCACACATCTATGATGAAGTGGCTTCAACCACCTCACTCCTAATGTCAAACAGCAGAAAAAAACCCCACCTAAACCCTGTCTGTGAGAAAAAAAAAATAATGCCTCACTTGGTTCTTGTAATTGCTCACTGGAAGCCATTCATCCCAGTGATTATTACTCTGAATATCAGCTAATACTTCAGAGCCTTGCCCGGAGCCAAGCACTTCCCCTTGCTGTTTTTTCACATGAACTTGCTCCAAGAGGCAGCACTGAAGAAAAACAAGACAAAGAACTGGCCTGACTTCCCAAGCCCCAGAGCTTCTTGGTGTCCTGGACCTGCCGCATCACCCAGCACGCAGGAGGCTGCAGGACCACAGCGGGACAGGGACACTGAAGCCATTTGAAACACTTCACATTGCTGCAACGAGAGCTGAGCCCCGCCCAGGGAGGCAAAGATTTAGTTTCAGATAAACATTGTTAAAGTGAGAGGTGTGGCTTTAAACCTTTCAAGAGGGAATTCCAAGCTCTGCCTCAGGGGATGTGCTCTGAGAGCCCGGGAAGAAATTCCACCCCAGACCCCTCGTGGGGTGTCAGCCCAGGGAATTCTGATTTGGTTTGAGCCCCTGGGGTTTGTCCCTTGCTGTGTTCCCAGTGGTCCCTGACCTTGAACTCCACCCTGGTTCTGCCCCTGCCTCTGTTCGGGGCTCTCTGTCCCTGGATCTGAGTTTGTTCCTGTGCTGATAAATGGTTTCCTGAGCAGTCTCGTTGGTGTCCCATGGTGGTTCCTGGTATCTGCAGCTTCTCTGGACATGATCCTGCAGCTCCGGAACGCAGCACTGCAATCTGGATGGAACTGCTGCACAAAGTTCAACCCTTGCTATGCATTCACTCCCGTTCGCCTGCTGTGCAAGGTTCATCCCTGGCCCTCTCCCAGGCTGGGGCTAAGCAGATCCAGGGGGTACAGCCTGCCTTCTGCCACTCTGGAGGGGTTTTAGGGTTACACACTGACATGAATATGCCCTCCGTGCAGGCAGCTACTGGCCTAGCTGGACACTCACAGCGCTCTGCAGCTGCCCTACAGCCCCTGTCCCCCATCGCACATGGTCTCCATCCTCTGCAGCTCCCCAGCCCCAGAGCCCTCTGCCCCCTACAGCCCCCTGTCCTATCCCTTATAGCCCCCAGTCCCCTCCAGTTCCCCATCCCCTATAGCCCCTACAGCCCGCAGCTCCGGTTCCCCAGCGCATCCCT